GCTGTTTGCTTGTCAACCTTTCCGTGCAGGACAGCTACTCCCAAAACGATCCTCGATGCTGCTGGTTGCTCGTCACACTTTTGCACCACGACAGCGTTCTCTTGTTGCCATCCTGACCCTGCTCAAGAAAGGGCTCGTCAAGCTGGGCTTCATCTCCAAGTCCTGAACGAGGTCAAGGTGCTTCTTGTCAAGTGTCGTGGTCTTCATGAAAGACGCCACCATCTGACCCTTCACCAAGCGGTCTGTCACGAAATCTTCACAGGCGTGCTGCAGGACATGAAGCGCACCAGGGGCGATTCGAAACTTTGAGCTTGAAGGATTCACGCCCGGTGTTTTGCGCTTCACTCTCCGAACAACCCTCGCATGGTCCTCGGGCTCGACAGCGACATGGTCAAGCATGGCAGTCACGAGCTTCTTGAAATTCTTCTTGGGGATCATGTTGGCGAAGGAGCCAGGGGCTTGCAGTGCGAGGATTTGCGTTCTCGTGTCCCTTCTTTGTCCACCGAAACGACCACGAAAACGGTGCACTTGCTTTGTCTTCGAGTCTCTCGCCGAAGGCCGTCCAACCTTAGCCTTCCTGAGTGGCACTGATTCCTCAGGAATTTCCTCTTTCACTTCCTCTTTCACCATGGCCACATCAAGAAGGTAGTGATTGATTCTGATCAAGACATTCCAGGGCAGCATCGGGAACAAAGAGCCATTCACATAAGTCATGGCCCAGGACAAAAGCGACCACTTTCGGTCAAAAGATTTCTCTTTCTCACTTGATCTGTTTCGGCAGCATGGACAGTGAATGCTGCAAACAGACACAGACAAACACACACTTCGGAACCCAGTGCCTCTGCACGATGATGATGCGCAAAGTCAGCACCGAGCCGAAGAAACGCGGCCAGCACCTGCCGACTGTCAACTGTCAGAGAGCTTCAAGAATCATTAGCTGGGGCTTGCACGTGGTGCCAGGCCTCAGGTCCGTCAGCAAATGGAGGTCGACGCCGCTGTGGTGATGAAGAAGTGGTGGCAGAGCTCATAAAACCGCGCCGATCCGCTTGAGGCCTCAAGACAGCATAAAAGGCAGAAGCAGCTCTGAGCACTCAAACTTACCTTGCCCAAGCTTTACCATATCAATTTGTTCAAAACACCTCCAGAAGCCTGAGAGGATGCCTGAATGCGTTTCCCAGCCCCTGGTAAATGCATCTGGCCCTTGCGGGGCTTGAGCTCTGATGGTCCAGGCTACGCAGCTTGCTAAAAGGTGTTTCAAATGCTCCAGAGGACGCCTAAATGCATTTTACGGGGCCTCGTAAACGCATTTGCAGCTGCTTGAATGAAGTGGATGCTCCAGGGAGCATTTGGTTAGGAAAAATATTACCTA